GAACACATTCCCCAAAACCTACACAAGGCCAAATAGGGCCTCTTTGCTAGAACTTTTTCACTACGTATTCAAAGCTCGGACAAAGAATAAGGGTAACGTGAGACAGACAGAATTAGGTCTTCTATACTTTGACTTGTATGCACAAGAACCCTTAATTGAAAATTGCAAACAGCAGCAGAACTTTACTTTGACTTGCATGCACATGAATCCTTAATGGCAAAGAGGCTCACACTCAACAAAGCCTTGACCCAACTTTGGGGATAAGGCCCATGCAAAAAATATTAGTTTTCAATACTTGCATCTCCAACTAATTTAGTACTTAAGGAGTTTACTTGTCTTTGTAAGGCAATAGATGATTGCACCAGTGTTTCAGGTTTTGTGTGAGTTAAAAAGATTTTTCTTATTTAACCTATCAAAAATAGAGAGACTACTCCTATCATGTTTTGGCAATGATTTTGTGTATATCTGTAATACGGTACCCCATAATTTTAAGGAATAAATAAATGGGATTTATAAATTGGGTTTAAATTAATTTATTATGTGTTTATTTGTGTATTTTCATATTGTTGTTGTGGTTTAATTATTACTACCTCTGTCCCAAAAAGGATGTCGCGTTTGGGGAACCAAACGCGACATCCTTATAAACCAAACGCGACATCCTTTTTGGGACAGAGGGAGAATGTTTTAATTGCATTGGGTTGTGTTTATTGGGTTATGTTTACTGGGTCGGATTTTATGTTGCCGGGTCATGGGGGTTTCATGGGTCAGCTTAGAATTCGGGTTGGGCTTATTGGTAGGCTTAATTGGTTAGCTTAAATATTATGAATTAGGTGAGTTAGAGGGATCAGACAGAACTACACGTATAGAGAGAGAGAGGGAGGGAGAAAGAACTGCGACATGAACCCTAGCCTGCGCGCGTTTTAGATCGTGGAAGAGAAACTAGGAGAGGACTGCAACCCTAGATCGGAGGCTTAAGAATACGAGTTGTTGCCCGACGAATAGTGAGGCAAGTCTTGCTCTTCTCTTCCCCTTTGAACTTATAAGCCTTTCACCTCTTCGGAATCGTTATCCAAATGTATATTCACTGTTTAAAACATGAGGGTTTAATTATGAAATTGTGGACTTAATCCCTAAACGTTGTTATTTTAGAATTTTAATAACTTAATTTGTAAACCATGTTTTGTTGTTGATAATTTTGATTTGAATCCTTGTTATGCTTTTGGATACTGGAATTTGCATGATTTAAATCTGTTATAGCCCAATGATTTGCCTCTGCCTTTCGGAACCAGACTTAAATTAATATGTTTTGACATGAGAACTCGCAAATTCGTAAGACTAAGTCCCAAGCAATTTCAGTCGGCTGAAATTGTAATTTCAGTCGACTGAAACTTGATTTCAGCCGACTGGCGCAGGTGTTTCCAGAATGCTCTCTGCGCGCAATTTAGCCTAGTTTCAGCCAGCTGAAATCCTATCCTGTTTCTTCAGACTTATTTCCGTACCCTAAGACCTGCTTCAAATGATGGGGTTCGGAGATAGGTGGAGGAAATGGATCGAAACATGTATTTCGTCCGTCATGTTCTCTGTTCTTGTGAACGGGTCTCCAATTGGTTTCTTTGCGAGCTCTCGAGACTTGAGACAAGGAGACCCCTTGTCGTTTTTTCTATTCCTTATAGTCATGGAGGGTTTGAGCAGACTAATGAGAGCAGAGGATTTGGGTTATATCAGGGGGTTCAAAGTCGGCAGAAATGTAGCTCATCAGATGGAGATCTCCCATTTGCTGTTTACGGATGATACCTTGGTTTTTTGTGATGCCGATGTCTCCCAACTAAGATATTTGAGGTGCATACTTGTTTGTTTTTAGGAGGTTTTTGAGCTAAAGATCAATGTTGGAAAGAGTGTGCTTGTCCCGGTAGGCGATGTTCCAGATATTTCCTCCTTAGCTGCAGTTCTTGGGTGTGGGGTGGATGCTTTTCTTCTTCCTTATTTGAGATTGCCTTTTGGGGTTTCCTCTAGGAGGGTGGGGAGCTGGAATCCAGTAATCAATAGGTATGAGAAGAGGTTGGCAGGATGGAAGAAGCAATATCTGTCAAAGGGGGGGAAGGTCACTCTTATTAAGAGTAGTCTCTCGTCCCTTCCCACATACTTTTTATCTTTGTTTCAAATCCCATGCTCTGTCGCTGAAAGGATTGAAAAAATTTGAAGGGACTTTGTATAGGGTGGAAAGGGAGAGGAGTTCAAATATCATCTTGTTAACGGGGAGCAAGTTTGCAAACCCTTAAAGTTAGGCTGTTTAGGCATCCGAAAGTTGGTTCCTTTTAATAGAGCTTTATTGGGAAAGTTGTTATGGAAATTTAGTAGGGAACGACGTCGCCAGTGGAGAAGGATTGTCTCATGTCGTTTTGGGGAAGAGAATGGTGGCTGGTCCTCCTGTCCAGTCTCTATTGCGGAAGGAGTCGGCATGTAGAAATTCATTCGGAAGGGTTGGAATGTCTTTTCCTCACACATCAGATTCAAGGTTCGTGATGGTAGGCGCGTCCGTTTTTGGGAGGATTTATGGTGTGGAGATTAGTTGTTGTCTTATTCCTTTCCTAGACTTTATAGTATTGCCAAAAATAGACACACCTACGTAGTTGACTGTTATCGGCTTGATAGCAGTGGAATTACGTGAGATGTGCGTTTTAGGCATTCTTTTCAGGATTAGGAAATGGACGAGGTATGTATTTTTTTGGATTTGTTGTATCAGCAGAAGGATGTTGGCAAAGGTAGTGATGACATTTTGTGGGTCCCTTCCACCCATGGTAGATTTGGTGTTCAGTCCATGTTCTTTTGTTTCTCCAATATCGTTGGTCATGATTTCCCATGGAAGACTATATGGCGTTCTAAGGCTCCACTAACAGTCGCATTCTTTGTTTGGACTGCCAACAGACGGTAAGTATGTGGATCACATTCTTATGCACTATCATGTGGCGTATTATTGTTGGAACCTCATCTTCAGCATTTTTGGCGTACATTGGGTAATGCCTCAGTCCTCCATAGGATTGATTAACGCGTGGAGAAGATGACCAGTGAAAAGTCACACTCGTGACTATTGGAGGATAGTTCCACACTGTGTTTGGTGGTGCATACGGAGAGAGAGGAATAGCAGAAATTTCGAAAAAAAGGAATCGTCTTTGGCGACCTTGAAAATTCATATTCTTCGTTCTATTTTCTGTTATGTGAAAGGAAGCGTTTGCTCCTTGATTGATGACTTAGTTGATCTTTTGAACTCTATTGGTCCTTAGGTTTAACTTTCGTTTTTTTGTATTAGGGACGCGTTCCCCTTTTGAACGCTTTTCTAATCTACTTTTACTTATCAAAAATAAATAAAATTTCTAGAACGGTAAACTTTTGACATAGCGTTTTATTAGTGTTTTCTAGTCTCTAGACCGATGTTAGAGTAGTTCGCGTAAAGCATGATTTGCACCGAAATTAATAACGGGAAAGGGTCATTAATTCCATGTCATATGTGCTAAATGATAATTATCATGTTACAAATGTAGAATGCGTTGTGGAACCACTATGGGCAGACTATTAACGCAGTCATACAAGTACCTAGTGGCATGGTTGATTTGTTAAGGCATAGTTGAGTTGCTGGGTACGTGGTTTGGTTGCAAACATAGTTGAGTTGCCTATTATCTTATGCTTATAATTGTTGATCACATGTTATGCGTATTGTGTCGGGGGGTTATATTTGTTGTTGTATTGTTTTCGTTTGAGATGATCGGTTTATCGGTACTTTGTTGGGTTGTAGTAGAGAGGACTTGCTCATGGGATTAACCAACCTTTTGCTAATATTTCAGGTCCCAGACAATTCCAACCACAGGGTTGAGGATTAAACACTCCATAGCTTGTTGTGGTCATCTACTCTTTCCAATTATTTCAGTGTAGGTTTCATTTAATTCCCTCATTAGACTATTATGAATTTTTTTATAGTATTTTATGGTTTTGCATTTAGGGGTCCTTGTTTTATGGGACTCCCGAGATGTATTAAATGGATATATTGATTTAAGAATTTATTAGTTATTTCCTTCCGCCATTATTCCTTTCTTTATTGCATATTGTATTCCATGCTTGCTTATTATCAAGTGTCGATGTCTCCTATTTTTGTGTATAAGCCTAGCCAATGAAAATTACGGGGTGTCACAAAATCCATCTCTATGTATTTGTCAGCCACACATTCCCAACAGCTCCTCAGCAATTATCTTAACTAGAAAACTGAATAGAGAGAGAAAGACACTTGTAAAAAAAAAGTGTGTGTATATATATATATATATAGAGAGAGAGAGAGAGACGAAGTAGTTGAATATAGGCAATGTGAATTACTTCTAGAATTAGAATTTTTTTTTTTTTTTTTTTTTTTTGATAAGTTACTTCTAGAATTAGAATCTGAATCAATGAATAATACAAATGTCTCTTAATCAGCTTGCAATGATCATTAAACCGTAAGCAAGCATGGAGGCCAAGCAAAGGACTTTCGTAGACTTCTGCGAATACATAGTTATTCATTCTCAAGCGCTTTCTAGTTTCTCCAATATTCAACATGAGATTTTTCACTGTATCATAGTCTCTCAGTTCATTTTTGTTTGGTAATAACCTACATATGGTAATAGTGCTCAGTGAAAGTATCTCCCTGGATATACAATTTGATGTCCCTCCTATTCATAAGGTAATTAAACCCTTAAATTAAATACACTGAGAATTTGAAAAGCATTTTTTATACTAGATTTCAAAATTCAAATCAAGACTAATAGTGAACCTTGGACTAAAACAAAATCAACATAAAGCTGAATCCAAATATGAATTACTTTTCAGATATGATACAAACTCCAACCTAATACAATTTAAAGAAATTAATGGCATAGATAATTTAGTACAAACAAACTCAATGTATTTAAAACGTAAAATACATTGTTTAACCAGTAAATAATAGAATGTATAGAAACTAATCAAGAAGAACTAACCTGAGTGAAGCCCTTAAGCAATGACCTCAATGCAGTGTTTATATTAAGGACCCGGATAGCTCCCAATTTCAGTCCATAACATATATATGTCTTATTGACAGCAATTTGGCGGCCCACAACAAGGCCAGGATCTGAGATATACTTGGTAATGGGAGTAACTTCGAGTTGTGGCTGCACCTCACCTGGCATTCTGTCGTCTATGTCATACACCGCGTGATTGCCAATCAAATGGCGCCCCTTTGGGAGTTTACTGCTTGGCATCCGCATGGGGGGCGGATGGGGGTTAACATTTGGTGCTGAAACGACTGAAGACAATAGAGGGACACTGGGGGGCATTGAAAATTCAGAAACACCAGAAGAGGAAGACTGAACTGGAGCCATGGGCACAGGGGGTTGTGGTGGCAAATCCATATTCGAAGGCGGGGGGGCACTTAACAGAGCCATGAGTCTGGCCCCAGGATTAGGATTTGGTGAAGGGAGGTGGTGGGGAGGAGGTTGAAGAGGAGGCGTAGGATAAGACATGGATCTCTGGAGGTGCATATTAGTGATATGGTCTTGCTGTGGGTAAGGAGGAATGTGATACTGATGGTGTTGAAATGGGTGGTTGGTCTGAGGTTGGTAAGAGTAAGGGCCAGTTGGCGGTGGATAAGAAGCAGAAGGAGGTGGTGCAGGGTAAGAAGAGGGTGGGAATGGTGAAGAAATCAAATTGCTATTAGGGTTTTGTGAGTTAGGGTTTGTTGTTGTGGGTTTGAAGAACTTGTGCATATCAAATGGCCCACCTGGTTGGTTTGGATTTCCAGGGGTAGCCATGAAGCAGATACACAATTTGCTGTGATATATATATATATATATAGTTACTGATACACAGAGATCTATCTATCTAATTCAGAATATATATATATATAGAGAGAGAGAGAGAGAGAGACTGATTTACAACTATATATATAAATATAGATATAGAGAGAGATAAAGAGGGGTTTGCAGGTGAATTCTACCTTGTCCGGAAGAGTTTGCAGATTGAGATCCGATGAAGTGGAGGATTTCAAGGCCGGACCAAAACCCCAATATTGGACTACTTTTGCATAACACTGATGAATAAGTGGGGACTTGGGAGACCAAAATAAGAAGAATAATATAATAAGACCGATGAGAAATATTATTATTTAAAGTAATAAATAAATTATGAAAACCACACTTGATTTTTAGGATAATATCACTCAACTCCCTTAAAGCTTCTTCAATTCTGAACACAATCCCCCAATTTAAAATGCCAATGGAAGAAACAAAGCCTCGAGAATTTGAAGCCCTACTATTCAACTCTATAAGTTTACCCTATTTAGCTAATTAATTTAGTACCCAAAAAAAAATCATTTTTTCCTTAAAATAAACTCACAAAACACACTCCCAAACTACTGTAGCAATATATCAATTATTACAAATGTGAAAAGAACGTGCTTTCAATACATAGAAGGGCAATTGGTTTACAAGGCGAGCTTTTTCCCTCATTGCTTTCGCCCTATTTTGATACACATAAATGAGAATGGAATGCAAAGATGAAATAATTGAAGGAATAGAATGATATCACTGTTATGTTGTGTTTGGTGTACAAAAATAGAATTAAATGTCAATTCCAACCATTCATTTATTTGATTTACAATTTAAAATGGGACTAGTCATTCTATTAGAATGAAAATTCATTCAATAACTAAACCTATGGAATGGATATTCCATTCTCAAGTAAATTTTTTTTAAAATTCAACTTCCAAAAAATCTCTCATGTTCCAAGTTCAAAAATTACCACTACTTTCCACCACAACCACCTCCGCCTTTCACCACCATTGACTTCCACCATTAGCACTGCCTTCTACCACCGCCCGTCATTTTTCACCACCATCGCCACCATTGCCATTGCCATCACCTTTCACCACAGCCATTACCTTCCACTGCTACCTTCCACTACCGCCATCACCGCCGCCTTCTTTCACCACCACTACTAGTGATCACCTTCCATCACCATCACTACCACCGCCTTCTACCGCCACTGCCTTCCACCACCACCACCACCATCTTTCACCACCGCCACTGCTTTCCACTACCACCATAATTACCTCCATTGGTTTCCACCACCTCCATCTCAATTAGCTTCCACCACCGTCACCTAAACCGCTATTTCCTTCCACCACCACCACACTGCTGCCACCGCTTTTCACCAACACCACTTGTCACCGCTTTCTACCAACACCACTGCCGCCTTCCATCACTGTCACTGCCACCATTTATTTTTAAAAAAATTATAGAAGAATGTCATTTTGTTAATTTAATTTATTTATTACTACGAGTAATGTTTTAGAGAACTCAATTTGAAATTTAATCCATTCTAAATTTTAAATTGGTCTAACCAAACATTCGAATGGTTATTATCATTTCATTCCTACACATTTCATATTTATGACTAAATAATAAAATGAGAATGGTCATTTCATTCTATTCCCATGTGCATTTCTTTCTATTCCTACACACTAAACATAGCAGTTAGACTAATTTAAAACTTAAAGTGAAATAAATTTTTAATTGAAGGCGGCACGGTGGGATTGGAAGGGTGTTTTTGACTATAGCGGCAACAGCAGTGGAGGTATGAGAGGGGGGTTTTACTATCTTATGAATTGAAAAATAAACTCAAGGTGAAAGCTAATATGGAGATAAAATTATATTTATCTTTTTGTCTTTTAATTTATTTTATTTTAATTGAGAATTGTACAGTCATTCCAAAGGATTTAGAATGACCATTCACTTTTGATATAGCACACCAAATAAGGAAAAATCAATTAAAATGTGGAATGGTTATTCCATTTCTCCTTACTAAATTAGGCCTTAGCGTTTCAAAATTTTCCTAATAGATTTGGGTTAAAATCCTCCCACTGCAATGTGTTTTCAATTATAAGGGGAATTTATTTATTTATACTGGGCATAGAAAATAACATTGATGAAATCAAACATTAGAATCCAGCAGCACTCTGGGCTTCTCTAAACCACAAACGCCACTGGCCATGCCTTCATACCATGAAAGCTATTATCATGCATATATATATACCCTTCCATTCTATACAAATCTTCATGATTACAAAAATGTTTTATTTTTTATTTTCATTTCTAACCACAAGTTATTTTTATTATCAATCTAAGCCCATTGTTTAGAAAATGTAAAAGAGGAAAAAGAAAGAAAACTGTCTCGGCAAATTTACCACTATATTCTTTTATATTTACATAAAAATTTAATTACAGATTTGTCAAGGGAATAAATAAATAAATAAAAATGGCTCTCATCCGTTAACGCACTTCAAATTTTGGCTACGTCAAGAAACATGGGAATATGTCTAGTGTTATCCAAATACACAAAAGAGTGAACAAGGATTGAGAATTCATTATGAATTTATTCTTTATAAGTTTGAAGTAATATTAGTTATATCATGAAATTTTCACTTATAACAGTCATTTCCCTCCGTCCAATTTGTTATAATTATTATTTAATTTTTTAACCCATAATACAGGATTTTAGTTGTCCATACTCCGTGCTCTCTCTCTCTCTCTGTCCAAATTTTCCTTTCCATCTACAATGTGTGAAAACAAACCGATCGAAAATATCCCCCTTTTTTTTCCCTTCAATCCAAACGAGCCCATGGAGATCTCCTTATTTATGAAATTATTATGTTGGATGGGAGGAGCATGTAGGGATGGGCATTAACGGAGTCAGAAATTTTTTTCGAGGGGGGCACATTATAATTATTGTATACGGTAATATATATTTACAATATAATGTATATGTATATAAGAATATGTATATGTATATATATATATATATATAGAAAGAGATATATGTATATATATATATATATATATGTATATATATAGAAAGAGATACTAATATTTTTGGAATTAAATTAATTTATAGATATAGAATATAAGTATTAAGGAAATAATTTAGGAGAAAAAAATATGAAATATATATAGAATTTTGGGAAGACTGAGAAATTTTCATTAAAAAAATGTATATATTATTATAAAATATACACAGAATATAAGAGGGGGAGAAAATCTAAGATGGGCATGTGCTCTCGTCCTTAACTGCCTCCGTCCCTGAGAATGGAAATGGGAATGGGAATAGGGCGGGTTTAGCTAAACCCGACTCTTTCAACTCTGCCCCGTTAAAAAATTCGTCATACCAACTATGTGTCTACTCTGGGACGAATTTGTAATTAGTATACCATCATTACCCCTACTTCGGTAGACAAAGTATCGACTCAGGCTCACGTACTCTATTTAAATGCAGGGCGGGTCTGGTTATGTTACTCTTATTATATAATAATAATTTTTTTTTTTTTTTTTTTTAAAAAAAAAAAAAAAGCTCAATGTGCTCAAATTGGGCTAATAAATAAGCTAGTTCAACTTTTAAATTACTAAGTAGTGAATATTAATATATTAACTGGCAAGTTATAAGGGTCTTATAAATATTAAATATATATTTTTTATATATCTATACTATTATTAAAAGGAAAATGATAGGGTCACCGAATGATTTTCCCGAATAAGTCCGAATCTGACATATTTTTGTCTACCTTATCTACTTAAACAGTTTTCAAAAAATAATTGTTTAACACGCAATAAGTATAGCCAACCATGCCAAATTCGGTGTTAGTTCGGGGATTCCTTTTCGGTTTCCCTGTCATGACTCTTATTAAAAGTACAAGGGTATCAAGAATTTCAAATCATCATTAAAAATAAATAAATTACCAATTAAAAGTTACCCATTAAAATAAATCCTATTATACTCTTAAAAGTTACCAATTAAAATAAATCTTATTATACTCGAAATTTTTCATGACTAAAACAAGTAACCAATTAAGATAAAATAGGTAATTGTTTAATAAAATAATTTGCCAAACGTCTACCATATCTGCCTCTTTTCTCTTTGTAATTGGTGTTCAGATATTTTTTTCGCACAAGGCAGCAACGTGCTTGATCCAGTAAGTTAGATATGATTATGATTTTTTCCTTATTTTTTTATGTGTGTTTTATGTTTGGTTGGTGACAACAATGGTGATCTTGTAAATTTAGTTTGCATTGTGATTTATTTTTTATTATTTCAAAAGTATCATGAAAGTATTTTATTTATTTTTTATTCCATATTTTACCTCTATCATATCTGCTCATTTTCTCTTTGTAATTGGCGTTTAGATTTTTCTCCCAGAAGGTTGAACACCTTTTAACTTTGCAACCTTACATTATAGTTGTGCAATTTTTGTTAGAAACTATTCAACATTACATTTTGTGAATCGTGTTTCATCTAGTAAGTTCATTAGGATTATGTTTTTCGTCTTTAATTTTATTTTCATTTTCTCAGAAGTACCATGAAAGTATTTTATTTTTTATTCTTTATTTAATGTTTGATAGGTGACAACAATGGTTGATCTTGAAAATTTAGAAGTATCATGAAAGTATTTTATATTTTTATGTAACTTGAATTCTTGAATTTTTTATTTCTTTTATTTTCAATTCATTTTCTCTATTTTGCTTCTAGAGTTGCTATTGTTTTGCTTCTAGGGTTTGTAGCTGATGAAGAATTAAGAGAAAGAAGAATAATGAGAGAGAAGAATAAAAAATTGTAACTACAAAGTTAGGATTTTTAATTAGGTTTCTGCCACCTTTTCTATTCCATACAAAGTTGGGATTTAAAATAAAAAATAAAAAATTCAAGTAATTACCTTTTCTATGTTATGATTTTTTTTTTCAATTAATTTTCTCTATTTTGAATTTTTTTAATAATTGATTAGCAACATTTTATCTATTATAAGATTTTTTTTCAATAATTTCTTATTTCAAGTTGATTAGTAAATTGAATTTTTTTTCTTTTATTTCTCTTATCTCTTTTCAATCTGGTTTCGGTAATTAATTAACAACTTGATAAATTTGGTTTCTGCTAGTACAATTAATTTTGTCCACAAATATTAAAGCTATTTTATTTATACTTGATTATTTTTTTAGTTTAGTTTTGGATCATAATTATTTTTTACATATTAATTTTATCAAACACATATAGAAGTTATATTATTTCTATTTGATTACTGTTTTGTTTAATTTTGGATCACAGCTATTTTTTTTTACATATAG